TACATTTTTAAATTTTATAGTCATTTTTATTCTTTTTTCAAATATTTTGTGAAATATTTTCAAAATGATTATATATTTTTTAAGCGACAGCAAAATTTTAATCAATGGGATAAAAATGAGTAAATTACACAAAATAACCTTTAAATTTTACCCTTATGTCAATTAAATTGCTGAATTAATTTTTGTGTCAATCAAGTCCTTGAATTAATTGTTGTATCTATTTAAGCCCCTAAATTTTAAATTTTTAGCAATTAAGCCCATGAATTAATTTTCATGTTAATTAAGCACCTAAACTTTAAAATTTTAGCAATTAAGCCCTTTGCTAAATAATCATTAGGTTTTTTAATAGAATGTCTCACGTGCTCATCACATGGACAATAAATTGGAGTATTTAGACTGTTCATTCGAAACATATTAGTCGAAGAACCCCATGCATTACACCCATTATGCAAAAAGCTTGCTGATCTGTTTCATTTGATGGATATCAAAGAAGTTTATGTTTAGGGTTTCAGTTGATGGGTGTAAGGAATGAGGTTTTTCAAACGATAGGTTTAATGGCTGGTGACAAAATGGTTTAATTACTAAAATTTTAGAGTTTAGAGCCTAAATTGATATGAAAATTAGTTTAGGAGCATAATTGTTAAATTTTTAGAGTTTAGAGATTTAATTGACACAAAATTTAGTTCAGAGACTTATTTATCATAAGTGTTATAATTTCATGGCTATTTGTGTAGTTTACTCACAAAATAAATAAAATAGAGTTATGTATTATATGATTGGACTAGTCATAACCCGTGCTTGAAGGCACGATAAAATATAAAATTCAAGCGTCTAAAAAATCAATCTTATATATTAAATTTTTTTAAAATATATTAACTACAAATTAATTAAATATTAAATAATTAAATATATGATAGAAATGAGTGGTGTGATATTTTTAGAGAAGAAATATATAAATAATTAAATATGTGATAGAAATGAGTGATATGATTGACGTTTGAGTCTGACAAAGGGATGATGAGTAAGGTAAGTAATTGATGATGGTTTTGAGGGGAAAAATATGACTGAGATAAAATTCAAACACACTCCTGTTTTATTATATAGATAGTTGTAAATTTTATGGGCTCATTTATAAACTTATTTACTTATTAGTCAACGACATCACGTGATACTAGTGATGCGGTGTTGTNAGAAATATATAAATAATTAAATATGTGATAGAAATGAGTGATATGATTAACGTTTGAGTCTGACAAAGGGATGATGAGTAATGTAAGTAATTGATGATGGTTTTGAGGGAAAAAATATGACTGAGATAAAATTCAAACACACTCCTGTTTTATTATATAGATAGTTGCAAATTTTTATGGGCTCACTTATAAACTTATTTACTTATTAGTCAACGACATCACGTGATACTAGTGATGCGGTGTTGTTAGAGCAACTCCAAGGAGGAGCGGCATCAGGAGTGATAACTCCATAACTGCCTGTAACCGTCAAAAATGTTATCTCAAATTCAAAATTTTTTACTCCAACAGGGGTGGTATCAAGAGTTGAAAAATGGGGGCAATGTTCTTGGGGTAGCAATTTTTCAAACTCTAGAAAGAAAAAAGGAGAGGTTGCAAAGAGCTATTTTGGCATTCAGATTCTAGATGTATTTTTTTTTTGGTCAAATTTTAGATGTATGAAAATATGAAAAAAATGATCTTATTTATAGAAGAATTATATTTTTTTGAATTTTTATTTTGACGGTTAAATTTTCANTTATCTCAAATTCAAAATTTTTTACTCCAACAGGGGTGGTATCAAGAGTTGGAAAATGGGGGCAATGTTCTTGGGGTAGCAATTTTTCAAACTCTAGAAAGAAAAAAGGAGAGGTTGCAAAGAGCCATTTTGGCATTCAGATTCTAGATGAATTTTTTTTTTTGGTCAAATTTTAGATGTATGAAAATATGAAAAAAATGATTTTATTTATAGAAGAATTATATTTTTTTGAATTTTTATTTTGACGGTTAAATTTTCAAATTTGAATTTCAATGGTTGAATTTTGATACAAAATTTGAATTTGAAATTTTTACTATAAAAATATATCCGTTAAATTACGATCGTTATAAAAACTATACCTGTTAAAACATAACTATTAAGTTTATTTATATTTTTTAATAAAAAATATTAAAATAACATCTTATTTTAACACCTTTCCTTAAAACAAATTTATAATTTAGGAATGCGTTCTTCAACGTTACAAATAAGTGACATAACATCTTAACGCTGCGTTTGGTACGTGAGATTAAGAGTGGGAATAGAATATGCATTCCTCAGGTAACGCTGATTCCTATGTTTGCTTGATAGGAAATAAACTTCATTCCCATTCCTAAAGTATAGTTAATTCCACAAATTGTGGGANATATGAGATTAAGAGTGGGAATAGAAGAATAGAATATGCATTCCTCGGTAACGCTGATTCCTATGTTTGCTTGATAGGAAATAAACTTCATTCCCATTCCTAAAGTATAGTTAATTCCACAAATTGTGGGATTAGACATTACCAAATCTAACCTAATATTTCTCATTCCATTCCCATTAAAGAGGGCGCCATTCTATTAAAAAAAAAAAACACAATCTCGTATTTTCTTCCCGATCGTCCTCTGCTCCTCCTCTGATCTCTCTTCTCTTTTTCTCACTTCTTCTCTTCTTCCTCACAAATGCCATGGCATTCCATCTTTCTTCTCATCCCCTCCCAATTACTTTGTGCCTCTCCCTCATCTCTCTGTGAAGCAAGTGTACGCATAGGTGGCCAGGAACAGCCCATATGAGCTCAGATCCGACTAAACCAGGTAATTACTTGTTACTGAAGAGTTTGGTCATCACCTCCTTGTTCGTGAGATGGTGTTGTTAATTTTCTGGCTGTATAGCCCTCCAAACTTTTTCGGTTTCACTGTCTTTTTTTGTTGTTGTTATAATGGGTGTATTTACGCCTTGGAGTTTAGACAAACCCTAGAATAAAATCCGATTGATCTTATAAAGGGAACTGTGAAATCATGTGGGGGCGTAACTACATGGAACAAATGGGGAAATGCACTCTTGCTTTTGTGAACTCAATTACCCAGCAACGTACAACAGGTTTTGATCCCAAACAGTCAGTATATTGATTTTTCTCTTCAATGAGAATGGAATGTGATTTTGTTGGACAGGACAGTGGTGACCTTACTTTCCACCAAAGAACCCCTTGAGACAATTAATTGATTTCCCCTATGCTTGTAATATCATTAGTTTAGAGCTCTCTTCTCTTATGCATATGAAATCATTCATACTTGTAATTGGCGAATTATGACCCATAAGGAACTCAGTTTTTAAGAACTAGTGAAATGTTTTTCAATGCAAACTAGGTGTTTGTCAAAATGCCTATCAGAAATTGACCTTCTTTTTGCCTTCTTGGGTGGTTAATGATGTGGCCTCCAATTTGTTTAAATGTTGATTAGAGTGGTTACTGCAGTTGATTCTGATAGATTTATTTAGTTTTGAACTTTTTTTTATGTTTCTGGAACTTTCTCATTTTGTATACAGTCATATTGTACTACTGCTTATGAAATCTATATCAATCTACCTTTCGAATTACTTGCAGTACTCTGTTTAGTTCCTTTTGTATTACTGCTTCAATGTCTCCCATGTCTACTAACTTACATAGGATGATTAGTCCAAGAAGTTCATAGCACGTTAAGCATCACAGCTCTTATGTTTATATATCGGTTCTCAATTAAGAAATACAGAAATTTCATTTCATAAATATGCTGGTAATGTGGTTGCAGCTGCAGCTGCATTTTATAACAGAGGTTCGAATATGCAAGCGGAGTGCAAAGCTTTGTTGGATGGTATCAGATTTTCATTGAATCTGATTCGCAAGTGCTTGTACAGATTGTCTTGGGAAAGACAGCTGTTCCTTGGAGGTGTAAACCTATTTTAGATTAGATTTGGAGTTTGTTTAAGAGGCTAAATGTCAGGATTCGATATATATATATAGGGAAACTAATGCTCTTGCTGATTTTCTGGCTTCTCATGCTGTTTGAATAGGTGGCTGTGTTGACTTTGCTGCCTCTGGGTCATTACCTGTGGCTGGGAAGTTGGTGCTACACCAAGATCAGACTTCACTGCCTATTCTGAGGAAGAAGAAGCTACTGGTGTTGAAGAGGGAAGGTGGATTTATGGCTTCTTGAAGGATTAAAGCCAAAATTCCTGTTCATTGTTGATGATTTTTTTTAATTTTTTGACATGTTTGTTTCTTGTAAGCTGTGATGCTCTTTAATTCTTGTAATTTTTTGATTCAGATCAATAAATTTCTTCCCATTTTTTTTTAAAAAAAAAAGTTGTATTGCATGTGTTTAGAATTCTTGTAATTTCTTGATTCAATCAATAAAATTTTCTTTTTTTTTTTAAAAAAAATTGTTTTTTATTTTGATTTTTTTTTGTGAACTTATTTTTAAAGGAATTTGTTTTCCAAATTTTTTAAAATTTATAGGGGTTTATTTTTTTTAATTATAAATTTTTTTACACAACTTTTAAAGGCATTTGCAATCATAAAAAAAAATGTTATTAATTATTTTTAGTCCCTATGAATATTTTGATTAAAGTTGATTTCATTTTAATGAAAAAATTATTTTACTTAAACATAAGAATAGAATGATCATTTTATTCCAACACTTAATTATAAACAGTCGTTAAACATTATAATGATAATGCACATTTTATTTTATTTTCAAGTTCATCTTACTTTTACTAAAAAAATATTGCCGCGTATCAAACTCAGGTTAAAAAGTTGTTTGGAGTCGCTGTTTAAGGTTTCACCCAATATTTTGTCGTGATTATGGGCGTCGACCGAAAGCCGAGTAACTGGCTATTCCTTCTAAAAGCTTCGTCCTGAGAGCTGGAAGAATCTATCTTCCCCAACTCTTGACACAGAACAGAGCCCAGGCCAGGTGACACACGTCGATAGGCAGAGAGCGATGGCAGACCGTTTCTTCCCCAATGACATGCCTGATTTCATCCCAGAAACTCCATTGGAAGAACCAAGCGCTGAAAGGGCTGGATATTCACTTACAAAGCTTCTCTCTCTTCCCTACAAAACACTCTCCGAGAGACTCCAGCAAGCAGCCTTGGATCTCAAAGAAACAGTACTCCTCTTTCACTTTGCCCACTACCCAATTGTTCTTATCTTTTTTTGTTTTTTTTCACCGAGCTATAATTGGGTAATAGAGCTTATGTTTGTTCAGATTAAGATGTGCCCACCAAGTGTTTGTTGTGTTTGTGGGTTTGATACTGTTTTGGGGTGTTTCAGGTTGTGAGGGAGACATGGGGGAGTAATGGGGAACGTGTGAAGGACTACACCCTTTATACTGGGGCTCTTGGAACGGCTTTCTTGCTCTTCAAAGCTTACCAAGTTACTAACAACAAGAATGACCTTGATCTTTGCTCTGAGATTGTTAAGGCTTGTGATTCTGCTTCGCGCGGTTCTCGGTAAACTCTCTCTCTCTCTCTCTGTGTTGTGACTGTTAAAATCGTTTCTTGCCTGGAGGTGGTGGTATAAGCAGCCTTGAATCAGTTGGAACCTAGAAGTATGCACCCACTTGTTGGCTGGTTCGTTCCAACTATACCTACACGCCACCAAAAAATTCGTGCTATGTGAAATGCTTATCTAGGAATGGTAAGATCAAGCTGGCTTACTTTGTTTGACTCGCTTAGAAGTGTGAACCCAATTTTGTAGTTCGATCCTTATAGAAATGCTGCAAAAAATGAGCAGTTAAAGTAGTACCGGGACCTGGTTGTAGGTTGGACCCGAGCTTGCCATTTTTGTAAGTAAAATAGCTCAACTAGCAATGCTATTTCGTTTATGGAATCACACAAGTAGATTGGAAATATACACCCCCTGGTGAAATTACTCCCAGCTTACCATTTGTGGGATGCCCAACTTACTATTTGATAGGTTGATATGCTGCTGAAATTGCTCAAAAAATTTGCCTACATGCGATTTGTCCTTTACCGGCCACTGAAAGTAAAAATTTAGCGATATCTGTTACGAGAAATTTTTTTATCTAAACTGGAATAGATATTTTCTTCATGGGATGGATTCGTTGACGACATGCATTCATTCCCGAGTTCAAACCAAGGCCAAATATATGTTTTTTGTGCACCCCATTGTATGTCCAATCATGGCAAACCTGCCATAGGAAAATAGAAATGTGCCTAAATGGGCTTGTTATTGCGGATTGCAGGCGTGTGACATTCATCTGCGGGCAGGCTGGTGTATATGCTCTTGGTGCAGTTGTTGCAAAGCACTGTGGTGATCAACAGCTGTGTGACCACTACTTAACTGAATTTGAACAGGTATTTAATCGTCTATATGAGCCATTGTGGCTTTTCTTGTATCTCTGTTTTCAATCTATCTTATATGTTACGGATCAGTCAGTTTATTTTTCCTGCTTTCAAATGTAGATCAAGCTTCCTAAAGATCTTCCAGACGAATTATTGTATGGGAGATCAGGGTTCTTATGGGCATGTTCATTCTTAAACAAGAATATTGGTAAGAAGACAATATCTTCTACCAAAATGGTAAGACCTTATAAACATTTTTACATAAATTTTGGTTTCTTCATTCCTGAACAAGATAATCATTGTATTGGGTTCTGAAATACTTGCAGAGAGCAGTGGTGGATGAAGTTATAAAGAATGGTTGGCAATTGGGAAGGGGAAGATGCCCCTTGATGTATGAATGGCATGGTAAAAGGTATTGGGGAGATGCCCATGGACTTGCTGGGATTTTGCATGTATTGATGGACATGGAACTGAAGCGAGATGAGGTGGAGGATGTCAAGGGTACACTGCAGTACATGATCAAGAATCGATTTCCCAGTGGAAATTATCCTTCAAGTGAAGGAAGTGAATCTGACTGTCTTGTGCAATGGTGTCATGGTGCTTCGGGGGTTGCTCTTACCCTTGCAAAAGCAGCCAAGGTAATGTGTGTCAAGCTAGCCATTTTTATTATGAATGTATTTCAGCTTATTCCAGATGTAAGCATTATAGTAAGGAAATGGAACTATAATTAATTTCGTCAACATTTTTGGATTCACTTTTTACCTACACGGGGCTCGGAGAAACTAGCTGCAAGTGCTTTTGGGATGGGGGCATTCTTCCTTATTGTTTTTTTCTTGGGGGGAGGAGGTGGTGGATTTTTTTGGTGCATATTGCAAGCCTATTGACCTATATATCTGGAAGTGACCTATGGGCAGAAAGGTAGATATAACTTGCATAAACATTTTTAAATGTCAAACTTAACCTATTTTCTTGATTAGTCATTGCAGGCTCACCTACAAATAAGCCCTCTACTACTTTTGGTTCATTAGAATTCTTGCTATTTCAAGAGTGTCTCACCCATAGTAAACAAAATAATGTGCCAGGTTTTTGGAAGCGAGGAGTTTCTGAGGGCAGCTGTGGATGCAGGGGAGGTGGTATGGAATCGGGGTCTGCTTAAACGAGTTGGGCTTTGTCATGGTATCAGTGGGAATACCTATGTATTTTTTTCACTTTACAGATTGACAGGCAAAGTGGAGTTCTTGTACAGGGCCAAAGCGTTTGCTTGCTTTCTAAATGATAGAGCTCAAGTTCTCATATCAGAGGGGATAATGCATGGAGGTGATCGCCCCTACTCCCTGTTTGAAGGCCTTGGAGGAATGGCTTATCTCTTTTTGGACTTGATCGAACCATCTGAGGCTAGGTTCCCTGGTTATGAACTTTGAGTGTCTTCTACAAATAGAGTAGATGTAGACAGAGTGTTTACGTGTAAATTTCCCAAGCCTGATGTATATGCGAGATAAGTGAAGCTTTTAAAAATTGTCTGTGACTCCAAAGTTCTAATTTTCGTATTCGTGCTTGTGTACTTTGCTCGAGTTATGAGGAACTGCAGAAGTCCATTAAAAAAGCTACCCCGTAAATCATTTCTTTTGGTGATGACATGCATGATATTAGGCCGCAACGTGCAAAAACGAAGTGATTTTCATTTCGTTCCTTCTGTGCCTGGAGGGGGACCTGATTCATTCTCAGACTCTCCATGTTTAGTAATTAATTTGCAGGTCTGCAAAATCATCTCCAAGGTTGGTAACTGTTCACACGTCCTAATATCAGTTCGATATCTATTAGCAACAGCTATTTGTTAACTGTTCCCGTGGATTTTATTTTGGCTATCAGAACAATGCAGGGAAGGTATGCAATTCTATTTGTTGCTTAATTTCTATGTTTGATAGAAATTCTCAGTTGTATTATGATCAAAATACAACAAATGGTTGCTTTCAATCAAGTGAATTTATTTGCCAGATTTGCCATTACAGAAATTCGATTATGATCGCTGGACTAATCTTGTTTGCTGAATGTCCCAACTTCCAGAGTCATTCAAATTATCTCTTTCTCCTTGCTGTTCATGAGACTACCACATAATTGTCATTTATCAAATGGGTCGTCTGATTTTATTGTCTTAATTCAAAGTCACCTAATTTTACAAGAGAAAATTGCTTAGAATGCCTCTTCATCCGAATTCAAACACTGCACTCATAAATAACAAATGCACCCAGAAATTCCTCTCCTTTGGCAAAGCTTACTCGATTAGAAGAATACCACGGAAAACATTTATGCCAAACCAACAAGTTTCTCACTGACTTCCCACACCTTCCTGGCCTTCTCTGCATCACTAGCTTCTTGAGACAATTGGTTCTCAAATGATGCCGAGTCCTTGTTCCAGCTCCAGTAGACCCCCGATTTTGTCAAGCTTGGATCAGTCACAACCTAGATAAAAAACCGAGTAATTCAGCACATTGCACATCATGATATGAAGTCTCCAAATGTATTTTATCTATTCACTTTTTCATTGGACGTACTAGTATTTACCTGTGCAAGTCTCTTTCCAGCTTCATCTTCAGAGACAAAGCCCTTGGTGATGTACTTCTGAAATGGAGGGAACAGAGCCCTGAACAATGGGATGTGCTCCCTAAACAAGCCTGTTGTAGCAATGCAACCTGGGTAAAGGGATGCAAATGTGATCCCAGTATCCTCGTGGTAACGTCGGTGGAACTCTTGCATGGTGAGCATGTTGCAGACCTTGCTGTCCTTGTATGCTTTAGCTCCATCGAAGTCCCCACCATCAATCATGACCGAGCTGTTCAGCCCATTCAGACCTCCAGCAAGACCTCTCAAATCCCCAAGGTTGGCCTTTGGAGGTACATTCCCAGCCAAGGTATTTGTATTCCCTAAGATAAAATTTACAGAAACAGCACTTATACTATCATCAATAATAACAGATGATATTCACTGCAGAAATTTAATTAGCTGCCCAATAAGGTTCTACATTGAATATGAGGGGAAAGTTCATTTTGCAGGAAATAAATAGATTTCATTTATAACTAAGTGAATTTGTTGTATAGCTCATGACTTATATGTTATCTATATAATTGGCAGGAAGACTATTGTTCTTTGTACCTGTAATTGAACCGACAATGATGAGTCGTTTTGATGGGTAATCGGACTGCTTCAGGTCATCAAGCAGCAACCTGGAAAGGAGGAAGTGTCCCAGATGGTTTGTTCCAACACTGAGTTCAAACCCTTCAGCTGTAAAGGTAGGCTCCTTGGCTGTTGGTAAGTAGACAGCAGCATTGCAGACCAGAACATCAAGCGGCCTACCCGATCGCTTGAAGTTATCTACAAACTGCCGGACACTGTCAAGTGAGGCGAGGTCTAAATGCAGCACGGTGTAGTTTTCCTTGGCAATGCCGGCTGACTTGGCTGCTCTTTCAGTCTTGAGGAAGTCCCTGCAGGCCATGATTACGTGCCATTTGCCAGTTTCAGCCAGAGCCTTAGCTGTGGCCAGACCCAACCCCGAGGAAGCTCCAGTGATCACGACACATCCCTTTCTTAAGGTTTTCTTCCCTTCTGGTGCAGCCTGGTTAACTGCTGGAGTTGTAACGACAGCCTGGGCTCTTACAGGTCCAATTCTTTGGCTGAATTCCCTCTGCTAGAACTCAATTCCCGTGAATAAGTTACTAATTAAGAGCATCCTTCTTACTTTAGAGACTAATGTGTACAGCTTAAATATTAATCTGCTACAAGCATTCCACAATTCTTGTTAGCTTAAATTCAGGACCTATCTGCCTTGGAAAGCAATTAGTTCTTCTCAAAACAAAATATTCTGGCATCAAGAGTGAAAATTTAACTCAACTCAATCAAACTTTAATCTGTTTGATCGATAACATAAATCATGTTCCTCTATTTTGCGCTATCAACGCCTATACCAATGGTTACCGTATAGTTATTTCACTATTTCATCAACATTAATTCAGTCTACACTTACCTTTTGCATTATCGTATCTACATCTTGCATTACCATTGACCGGTATGTATCAGTTAAGTTATTTTTTCATAATTTATCTCGTGTTGGTGCTACTGTTTGGGTTCAACAATCAATAAGAAAAGGTGTAAATTTTGTGTGTAATTAGATGAATAGATGAATTTATACTGGTATTACCTTGCTCCTCAATACGGAAGCGCTGAAGTCAGCTTTAAGATGTTCCGAAAGTGAAACCCCAAGCAGACTGGAGTCTTTCAATGCTGCACTGGTTTTTCCCTGCAAACAAACATTGAAGATTTTCCAAAGCAATCAGCCACTTGTTGTTTGGTGACAGTAATAAAAAAAGAGCATACAAAGCTTCCAGACATACCAAGGGAAAACAAACCTCTTTGGGGATTGCAAAAGCAGAGGGAAGCAAAGAAGCAGCTTGGAGAGCCATGAGAGAGAGCCTATGCAGAGGATTTGTTTTGATGAGTCCAAATGGACCTCTAGCTAGATCTTTTTCCACTACAGAACTTGGTGATGGAAATTAATAGTGGTGCCTTTATATTGGGATAGTGGCAGTTTGGTGACAAAAAGTTGAGTTCTGTCTCTTGGATATGAAAGGCAGAGTGGATAAGATAATTGTTTGCTGTATGTATCTGCCACTTCATTTCCTAGCAGCCAATCAGGCTTTGAGTTTTGGATATCCTTTGATATTTGTACTTTTTCAAGTGCCAAAGGGTTGGAGTGGGCCTATGAAGGTTCGCTTCCCAAGGCTTTCCACTCACAACAGTGATGGGCTTGGCATGGAAAATTAGTGCAAGGGTACGAGACACTCTTGGTGGAGTATGGCACAACTATACTGCACTCTGACAAGCGTAGATTTCGCTGACACTTTGATTGGTAGGATTGTTTTTGAGCAGACCCAATATCCCGGGATAGCCACGAATAGGTGCATTACAACTTCTTGGTTTTTTTTTTTTCCCTTGCTTAATGGTTATCCTAACCGTCATCATTTTTATTATTGAACTTTGAGGTTAAAGGTTCAAATCTCGTTATTTCTCTCCTTATAATAAAGTTTGACCAAAAAATCTTCTTAGTGGTGTTTGGCATGCAAGAGTGTCCTAATACACAATTAATTGAAGAAGGAAACGCACTTAAAGTGATGAGAAGCTTGGGCGGAAAGATGGGTCTTCACAATGAAGGCTAAGCACTTCTTGGGTTGAGGGGGCAAAGTAGTCTTTTTACACAATGTCTCTTCTTTGTTTCTGGGAAAGAATTAGAAAAAAATATGGTCTTAGTTAAGCCAGTTTTCCTAAATGCCAGGCCCTTTTGTGGTTGTAGAAAGTAGATCTTGTTCAGACATAACGATGTTTATGGTTTATGAATGATTACAATACATTCAGAATTTACATCACTTCCGGCTAGGACAATTTCCCTTGACCAAAAAAAAAAAAAAGGCTAGGACAATTTCCGGTTAACAGAAAAGAAAAACCAGTTTTGTTCAAATACTTCAGGTTTTCAGAAGCCATCCACCGTCATCAGAAAAGGAAAAAGACTAAAAAGTATTCCTGTATCATCCGAAACAAAAATTAAAAAAAGAGAAAGATTGGCTACGGAATATAAATACAAATACAGAGATTCTATGAGTATCACATCCTCAGGTAAGATAAACCCAGGATATAATGTACAAGGATTAGCTAACTTCCCATATATATACTGGCTGACTGCCTCAAAAAATACATTCATTTCTGGCTCTACACTCAATCTACAAATACATATAAAAAACCAACGCTGAATGAATTGTGAAAGAATTCTGTTAAATTCAATAAGCTTATACCATGTTCACGACTCTACATTTCCCGACTTCATAAATCCATCAGTATCTAAATTCATGCTGTATTTTTTTCTTGTCTAACAAATATATTCTCTTTCTTGGTGCCAAGGAAGACGGGTTCATCATCTGTGTCCCAAACAGACAGGCACTTCACAAAAGAAAAAGGAAAAAGGGATGAAATCGCTTAATATTACAAATCTCACCAAATTTTTCTGTACAAATTTTGCCAACTCGGGGATCCCAAAGTGTTAATGCAGCACTTCTAGATGCTTGTGGCTCCTGGTAAGTTTTTGGTGTTCCCTAAATCCGAATTGGCAATCCAAAATTTTGAAAAGTCCTGATTTCCCCTCTAAGGCCAGCAGTTACGATCACCATACCCCAGGCTGATCTACTCTGGTTTACCACATTAGAGAAATCCACACTGACACGAGGACTACAATTCTTGGTAGCTAAAAGAAGTTTTTCTTCTGGCCATGTCGCTGAGATTCTATCAAAGAAGTAGCTATTTGTTGCACTGGAGATGGTACCATGAAGTGGGCTACTGGTGTACCCAGATGCCAACGGTGAACTCTCATTACCATTAGTTGCTTCAACCGGTGTAGGGGGGTGATTCGCGGTAGAGACCTCATCCATATGGTCAACAAGCACCCTTGGTTCTGCAGAACAAGTATCTTGTAATCCCCATGTGTCACACATGCCTGGCCAGGGGATGGCCACTGATACATCTCGACAGTGGAAATGTTCATAAGACCGTGTCACAGTTACACCTTTGCCTCTGCTGGGTCGGGAATCACCTTCATGTTTCCAGATATAAACTCGAGAATCCTCACTGGCACATACCACATATTTTCCATTCTCAGTGAGGGAAGCTGAGATTTGGCTGCTAGTGTTGCGGAACCCTGTTACAGAATCAAAGTCATTTACGGGGGTAAATTGTGAAATAACGTATATTGCAGTCCAAGAAGACACAAATCTTGCTTTTAAGAGTCCAGCACACAAAATGATAACATGAAATATTTCTCTTCTACAGCACATCGACTGCCCAATAAAAGCAAACAGGCTGAGTAACTAAGATATGGTAAGAGTAAGACCAACCTATTACAATGTATTCCACTGTTCGTACAATTCAGGGTTCCTCTTTCTTACGATAGTCACAAAAAACAGTTCACTGCTTCTCAGAATGAAACTCAAAGGATCCAGGATTGAAGCAAACCTCAAGGGATCATTTTCCAACTCTTCCACACTCAAAAGAAATCACATTTCGGCTTCACAGTGGAAGGGAGAAGTGTGATATTCGAGTGAGAATACAGCATGTAAATTTCAAATTAAGTTAGACAATTTTGTAATTTTTGAAAAACAAAAAGAATCACAGGAATTTTGTTCAAATGAAGTCATTTTCATTGAAAGGTGTCTTGCTGCAAAAAAACTACAACATCCAATACAGGAGGAGAGATAATGGCCAATATAATGTTTGATGAAAGATATTCCTCACAGCATAATGAGGGTTCAGAGTATAATATGCCTATGACAGTTTCCAATCCTGCTTGTGGGACCATTAGTAGAAGTCACATATTATGATAGTCATCTAAGCTTGTAATCAAGGATCAAAATATCATTTCGAAACAGTCGAACATCCGAAACGTTTCCGTTTCTAAGGAGACCGAAACGAATCAGTGAATTTTAATACTTCGAGGTGTTCCATAATATTTCAAAATGTTTTGTTATATTTCAATACATTTGTATAATTATTTTAGAATGTTTCAAGGTATTTCAAGATATTTTGGTATATTTCGACTAATGTTTTAAAAAAATAATTCTTGATTTTTTATATTATGTTTTTGAAATGAGTCGAAACGTTTTTGAAACACGTCAAAACGTTTCCATTTTCTAGGTAACTGAAACAATGTATTGAAACAAAATTTTGATCATAACTTTTAATATTATTTAATTTGGTGCTTATGATAATGTTAAACGAACAACTGCAAAGACACTCTTGAATTGTATCATTCACAAGCTGACTAGTTGTAAAACCTGGGTAAATTTGAACTTTTCAAAAAAAGGACAAAATGATAACTTGTTACTACGGTACGGGTTGTAAACCTAAATTTTTCTACAACTTAGATGACGAAACGGACCTCACTGTTGAATTCATCTCGCGAATCTAGTTACCTTGTCAAATTTTGAGATAGTCGAATTTTTTGCGTTTTACGAGACAGTTGAATCTTGGGTGACCTAAAAACAAATTTTTTAATAAAATTGCGAAATTCAAAAATTAATTTAAGGCAAATTAAAATAAAAACATTTTAAACTTGAATCGAGGTGAAATTAAATCATTTCGGGACGAAAACGGACCCGAAAAAAAGAGGACGTGTGGCGCGTTGTGGGCCAAGTGTTTTAGGATTATAAAAGGGGAGAAATATCAGATTTCTCCCCATTCTTCAGCCGGTTTTAACGTAAGAGAGGAAGAGAGGGAAAAAGAGAGAGTTCTTCACTATTCTTTACGATCTACGAAATTCTGGCAGTCGAATCTGCTCGGGCCTAAAGAGAAAGCCGTTCTCCTCAACATGGGCTACAAGACCATACCAAAAATTGAAGAGTTTACCGAAGCTCCAAAAACGAGGTTTGAGGAAATCAAGGGTTTGAGTTTGATTGAAGTTCTTGAAGATCTTCTACATTGATTTCACGCTTCAAGAGGTGGGGTTCCTTCCTATTTGAATTTATTTTACAACCTAGGGTGTTAAATTATAATGGGTAGGTTAATAGAGATATATATCACTTACTTATGTTTGTGAGATTGATGAAATGGGTGGGGTTGGTAGAAATATATATCACTTACTTATGTTTGTGAAATTGAAATGGGTAAATTGATAGAAATATGTATCACTTACTTATATTTGTGAAATTGATAAAAAAATGTATGAAAATGGATATCAAAATTATTTAAAATAAATTCCTAATATGAAATTGGTATGTAGTAATTACTTGAGTGATTACATGAAAATCGGTGTTATGTGGGCATCCTATGTGTTTATATTATGCCTTGAAAATGAAGTGTGTTATCGGCGAATATGAAGTAATAACATACTTGTAATATGTTTTTAGGTATAAAAATATTGATATATGCTTATAGATATATCGATATTATGATGGAATTGATAATTATATGCATATGATATAATTGGCCATGGAATATGAAGATATGTGGTTATACTTGCTCATGTAGCATTCATTACATATGAGCATGACATTAATATTGCAATGGTACATTACATTGCATTTCACGGAGAAATCGCATCTATGGACATGAGTGTGGCTATGAGTGCACATGGTTGACATCATACACCACGTAGGTGAATGATGGGTGGACTCGAGAAAGTTGGATCGTAGATTCGACTGATTCGCACGGTTGCATGAAAAAAAAATTGGGTCGGGGTTAACAAGAAGGGTTAGACTATCCCTCGGGTGAGAAACCCGATGATTGGATACCCATTCCGTTGGTATAAGAGCTCATACAGGTGTCAATGTACGCAAAACTTTTGGTGGAAGTCCATAAATTCTGTGTCGGTTAGGTGCCGTTGGTGTAAGTCCATAAATACCCACTCCAAGAAAGACCCAGAGTTTTCTTGAAAATAGTCATCGGGTGTGTAACGCCAATGGCAGGGGTTTGGAAAGCCCGGTTTTATACTCATGGCATTGCATGGGAGAAAAAGAGCCGGTGAGGGCTCGGGTTAAAGGGCATGAGTGAGTATCATCTCATTTCATGGCATGACATGCTAAAATTCCAACATTGAATAGTATGTTCTTGTTTGAGATGTTGTTTGTTAAATGTTGCATGTGAGCATTGCATATACACTTAGGTTGGGGAGTAGCCTCTGTAGGTAATATTGTACTGAGCGTGGCTCACCCTATACGGAAAAATATTTCAGGTGCGGGATACACGCCGGAGGAAGGCCCTCACATGTAAATTCATGGAAATGAATGTAATAGAATGTGTATGGACCTTTTATTAAACAAAAATCTTCATTATACATGTGTTGGATGGATGTAATATGGTTTGAAATAAATTGGAAATAAAAAACAAGTGAAACAGGCAAAACTGGACAAAGCATACCGGTACAACCTACCAGTACAACTTTGTCCAGTAGGCAAACCCTACCGGTAGGAATTTTCTAGTAGGTAAACCCTACAAGTAGGAAGTTTCCAGTAGGCAAACCCTACCGGTAGGAATTTTTCAGTAAGCTCACTCTATCGGTATGCCCTACCGGTAGGTCTTTCAAAAATTTAAAATTTTAAAATTATTTTGCCATGCTTTTGGACTATGGGTTCTTTGGTCCCAAGGATATAAATGGGTATTAAATGAGTTAAATTATAATATGTTGGACCTTGGTTGGGTCAAATGGTAAAATGTACGAGAGTTACACGTGTGGGTGATGATCCCGGTTAAAGAGATGCTATTGACGTGATGTCGGGTTCTGCATTGATCACGGATACTTCCGCGGGCTGACGGGTGGTCAACGGTTAAAAAATGACCCTTGGTTTTAGGGGCGTCACACTAGTGCTTTATAAGTTTTAAAGCACGTGAGTGTAATCTGCTTCAGTTTTCACTAGTTCACGTACAAATTGGTTCATTGCAATTAACAATATCAAAAGCCTGTACATTTGAGTTTCATTTAGATATCCTAGGAGTTTTTTTTTTTCAGTTTATTTCTTTCCTTTTTTGGGTCAGGAGATACTATAGGAGTCCTGCTCCCATGATTCTTCATTTTTCCACAATTGGCTATTGTTGCTAATATTATAATATTTTCTCTATTAGATATATCCAAAAGTCCCCTTAATGTCTTGAATTTTGACCTTGCTTCTCATTGTCAATTACCCTCTACCCCACAAACCAGGTCCACTACTCAAACACCAGCCAATGATGGTCAGAACAGCTATTACGCACATCTCTCTGGATTCTGAATGTAATGTCAGTAGAATTTGAATTAACATATTTTCCACTAACTTTATAAAGAAAATAGAAGGTCAATGTTTGAATTCCTAGCTTTAAGACTACTACTATGTCAAATGACTAAACCTGGACAGATTTCTCTTTTCAAACTAAGTCAGGCTGCCTGCATACTGTATTGGATCAAGTTACACGCAGTTATTCATGGTACATAGGCTAAAAATAAATATGCCCCTTTTTAATCATTCTCATGTCAAATTTCCAATTCTCTGGCCAAAAAAAGAATTCTCATATTTGTTATTCAACTTTAACCTCCAAATGCATATGTTCATATGGAGGGTGATTTACATGAGCAAATTAACACCAAAATAAAGAAATACTCATGGAGTTGTAAGTAATGAAAAGGTTAAGTCAATTGCACCCTAAAAAAAAACACCACTGATGGTTCAGTTAACTAGAAGGAAAAATGGAAATTTATTATCGACTAATTACAAATGGAAGAAGAAATATACAGATAGGCCTGTCCCGTCCTTGAGAAAAACAGTAAACTCAAATATTGATTTGAAAAGATAAGTTCAGTGGAAAAAAGGTATTGAAACACAAGTCAAGGAAACTAGAATGACCATCTATCCAAAAGCTTTTGTACCAATGCCCAGATAATGAACAATTCCTAAAGATAGTTACAGAAAAGTAGCAGATAAGGTTAGTAAACTTTTGGTGGTTATATTGAGTGAATCAATTACGGGTTATTGTGCAGTGCAATGCTAAAAGTATCGATTGAGTGTATAAATGTCAGCATTTACAAAAAACTTTTGATTTCTTATTTTATCCCTAATTATTATGATAAAGTCAATTATACCCACCTATATATTTTTATCTAATTTTTTTTTTAAACCTATTTGACTTTGAACNACTTTTGATTTCTTATTTTATCCCTAATTATTATGATAAAGTCAATTATACCCACCTATATATTTTTATCTAATTTTTTTTTTAAACCTATTTGACTTTGAACTCGTTTTGGCCTCTTTTATAAAAATTCTAAATTCTTTTAAACTCATTCATTAGTAGTATAGTTACATACAATTAGATATTTATATGAAGAAATAAAGTCCTATATATGTTAAATTATTATACACATGTAGTTACCCGGTTGAATTACACAGTCAAATATATGTTATATTTTATTTTTTGGTATGCAATAATATAATAATATTATAAACGATTTAATCAATTTATTTAATAAAATAAAAATTAATAATTTTATAATATAATTCGATATACAAATGCTTAAAGGGATAGGAGAAATACTTAAATAAATGACAAATTAGGTACTCAAAAACTTACAGAATAAAACAATCATTAAATTTAGCAATAATTAAAATACGAATTAATTAATTTAATTTAATTACACATAAAATTCATATTTTCTATAAAAATAATAATATTTATTTTATTTACATATGGTAATATCAAATGTGAGGTTTGCACCTAAGCCTACCCTTTACTACACCCCTATTTAATGTGGAACCAAGGTTCGAAGAATTAGCCGAGTCCGAGTCGACTCCTCCTTGGCCCCTACCGATCCGAAACGATATATGATGCAAAAATATTATAAGTCTCATATGAATCAGTTATGAATCGACCCAACTTGGTATAACTTGGGTGATTTGCATCCGAGTCAAACTGAGTGGAATCGATCAAGTTTAAACCAATAGAAGAAAAACCAAAAAAAAAAAAAAAGCAAACGAGACAAAGAACAAGACCCAATTTGCAAGAAAAATCTAAACAAAATTGAATTGATGGAAAAGAAGCAAGATCATAGGTTTTTGCATACACTTCTTGTCCAATTTCCAAAACAAAATCCTAAATTAAACTCTTCTTTTGCAAACAATAAATTTACAAAATTTATGACACAATTCTGAAAAATCATGTAAAATCTCCTCCTCATCTTTCTTTAGTTGCGATCTTCCAGTTACAGCAATGATAAAGAAATTACTTAAAAGCTAAATATTAAAAGTATCTAAATAGCTATCATAATTAATCTATAATATCTATCCAATTCCTACACGATTCTCATCACCTTCCCTTTGACTTTAGTCTCTCATGCTTCAGGTTTCAGCTTCGAGTCTTTGACCGACGTTGATCTTTGATCGTCAACCCTTGGGGCTCAATTTCTCTTTGTCACTCTTACTCTCTTCGTCTTTGTCTCTCTTTGTCTCTCTTAGAATGACTAGGTGAGGAGTGAAAACCGAAGCCAAGTCTGTCTCACTCCTCTTAAATGTCATGGTTCATGACATTTTTTTCTTCTTTCTAATTTATCAAATTTACAATTTATAAATAATTATTTATTTTTCCTTATTTCTAACTTAAAAATGGATAATATAAAATGCTAACATAATCAATATAATTACAGTGGCATATATTTAATTTTTTCTTATTTCGATAGTGCATTTAATAATTTATTTTCATTATGTGTATTACATTTGGGTATGTATTTTGGAAATAATACATAGATCTTGTTATTTACATTTTTTAGGAGTTTTCACGATTTCTTTCATAATTTTTTGGACCTTCTATCTAACCTTTTGTGCATATCAGTCGATACTGTGCCGAGATGCCGCGATTGATATGTATCTGAATTCTCCGAGTCAATGACAAATACCACCACCTTGAACCATGCTTAGAATCAAATAGGCAATTAATCTAATGACCCACCAGTGTTGTAAAAAGCGAGCCTAGGTGAGAAGCGAAGCGAACGTAGAAAGAGGCAAGAGAAAAGTGTGAAAAGCGAATAAGCAATCGCTTTAGTGAACTTTTCAATTCCATGTTCCCTGATTCTTCTCATTCTCTTCTAATTCTTTCCCACTTCTTCTGATTTTCTGGTTCTACTGAAAGCTCAACCTACTTTTCTACTCTATTTTTTTTTTTTTTCTACAACCTGATTCTAGTTCTGCTGCAACCTGCCCCTTTGCTTGTGTTGTGGTATATAGTTATGCTTAAATTGATTTTCTACTTTGTTATGCTAATTTTCTGCATTTATTGCTTAGACTGATTCAAATGTGTTTGTTTTTAGACTGCTCATGTTTGATTCTGCGCCTTTGTTATGCTTAGTTCAATTGATTCTCTTGAAAATGACTAATTTAGTAGAAAACTATATACTTTTTGTTGTTGCTTCCTATTTGTAACTGAAAGGATTTCATCTATGGTTGTTGAGTACTAATGACCAGATTTTTCATCTGTGATGGTTTAGATATAAATTGCTTTTTATTTTATTTTATTATCGCTTCGCTTCGATGAAGCTCTCGCTTCTCGCCCCTCAAAAGACTTGTTCGCTTCAATTTGCTTAACGCATTAAATAACACTGTGCCCCATAAATAAATTTCATTAACTATTGAAATTAAGTTTCAAGATTTAAAATCAGTATAACACAATTTACAAAACCCTGTAAGCACATTGATCGATTAAAGGATTTTTGTATTGAGTTTGTGTTTACCTTTGAACTTGTGAATCAGACCATCATCATCAATAACCCGAATTCGTGAATCTGCAGAGGTAATAAGCACTTCTGATGTACTTCCAGGAGCGAACTGTCGAATTAGTACTAATTAGAAACTAAGATACCCTTAGACATACACAATTCACAATTGTAGCTCAAAGGTAAACAGGCAACAGATATTCAAGGAAATATCTAAAAGACACCCTGTGAAAAGAAAGGGTAATGTTTCCTTTCTTTTTCATAAAGCTACATAATGGAAAGGGCCAATTGTTTACCTGAAAACCAGTAATTTTCTTGTGATGAGCTTTCTTTCTCTTATTCTGCAGATTTATTTGATTTTTCTGTTGCAACTTGTTATCTGGAAAAAAAAAGAAGTGACAAGGTAAGAAACTTGACAAAGGACACACAACAGAGAGAGAGAGAGAGATCCCACAACTGTACCAGATGTGTTGTACAAACGACAACTCCCCTTGCAAGAGCCAACAAGCGCGCCCTTCATAAATCAACAAAAACTCCTTAGAGGCACAATTGGACCGTCACAAAAAAAATTTGTACAATGACAGCATCTATTCCCCTTACTGCTGGGGCAGCAAAATTTTATTTTCTTAATAAATGCTAGGGCATGTGGGCAACACAAAATTTTAGTATGAGAGCTGCACATTAAGAATTCCCAACCTGACCATCTGGTGTGTAGCAAGCAGCAGTGACCATCTCATGTAGATCAGTCCAATCAACAACTTGTCGATCAGGAATGCTCCATATGCGAACCTTAGCATCTAGGGATCCACTTATGAAATATCTATCATCGACAGGATTGAACTGGATGCAAGTTACTGTCATGGCAAATCCAGAAAACAATAATGTAATTGGCCACTAACAAGAGAAATGAAAAAAACGACTCCATTTGCAGATGATTTGGGGACTCCTATTTTTTACGATGGGAACCCCACTTGCTTAGGGATAAGAAATCATTGGATACTCCAATGTTGATATTCGGCTGTTATGCATTGCTTTAAAGGAGTGTATTTACCGTAGTCACTGTGTGAAAAAGTCTTCAAACAATCTTTGCTAGACAAGTGCCAGAGCCGTACTGTTTTGTCCATTGAAGATGAGAGCAAATGCTGAAAATGACAGCTTCAGTCCACAGAGTCTTAATGAATAATTCACCAGAAACTTAATTTTAATATACTATAACGGCTCAATTTCTTAATTTTTTGTCAGTTTCCATGCAGCATATATGTGAAAAGAGTAATAATCAGACAGGAGACTTCCTGTCAGATTGTGATCACTACTACATAATGATTGTAGTGAAGTCAGCAATATTTACAGGAACAGTAAATATCTTCACTGTTATCATCCAACAAGGGAGTAAAAGAAGATGAAAAGAAAAAAAAAAAATAAATGCTATCTAAGGCCTAAGCACAAGCCAGTAAACATACTAACATACCACGTAAAGATAGGAAGGAAACATTAAAGTATAAAGTTTCACGAATCCTTATTTCATAAAACCTGAAATTGTTATTACCAAAAGAATTTCACCTTCTAGCTGCCATATTATGAGAGGAGCAACAGACCACAGCATAACCACCACAGCACGGGAAAGTGACTTCAAATAACAAATGACCCACCAACCAAATCTTTTTCTTTATTGCTGTATTCTTCTTATTTGTTGGTTCTGTTATTCTACAGCCGGAGTCCTCTATATCAAATTACAACATTCTTAGTTTGTCCAAAATTTTTTTGGAGATCATACCATCATATAACTGTAAAACTCAGTAACAATCAATAAAGTTCCGTACGACACCACCATCTCGTAATTCCACAATAACTCAACAGCACTCATTTTGTGTAAGTTCAGCAGCACCAAAATAATCATCCTAATGTGAGACATAATTATGTACATCAATTATCTTTACATGGTATCTAGTCTATTCTGCCACTATTCCTCCTTACTGTATAAGTTTGCCCACACTAAAACCCAGTATCAAAACCCACAAATTTCCAGATGAATTATTTCCTAAGATATTCTGAACTAGTAATAGAACATTGAAAAGATGATTAAAAAGATTAAGGTCAACAGTTGATGGAATACAACATATTACTCTCCCCAGCAGTATTTGCTCGAATTTTTTTAACTTTCTGCAGCAGCCAACCAACTAAGAAACTAGTCATTTCCTCAATCCATTAATGGGTTAATAGTCCTTTTGGTCCCTAAAGTATACATTTTTTGTTAATTTTGTCCTCATTGTGTTAATTTTGTCCTCATTGTATCAATTGATACAATGAGGACTAAATTAACAAAAAATACATACTTCAGGGACCAAAAAGTGCTATGAACCCTTAATTAATCTATCCAAAGACCATTTGAATTCGACCATATTCAACCCCGGCTAACAAAATGGTTGATTTACTCTACAAAAAATGGCATATTCTAATTTCCTTATTCTTCTAATCATTCCTTCAATAATAAAAGATAATACCTAGAATGAGGAGTATAAGATAGCCATGGGATATGCCTCACATATCGGATATGGCTGATTTGGAGGGAGAGAAACATGAGGTTAAAAGAGGCAGTTTAAGTTTTTTTGTATAGTTCTTGAGAAAATTGATCTTATGTCCCACCGGTTTTGTTTTGTTTTCCAATTAGACTGCATCCAAATTTCATGTTTTTCACTTTTGTTTTTGCATACCCATGTATGCATGGTTTCGCGGCACAATAAAAGATATTCCAAGTTATGTAATACCTTATGACACATGAGCAATCTTATTGAGATATTTTACAAAACCTTTGAATATTTGTATCGTTTGACACTATAGTGCAACATTAAAATAGATGGGTCGCAAACATCTTGAGTAACATTAAAAGAAAAATTGGTTTGTCAGTCTACAATGCACTGACAAGGTTTGATTACAAAGTGTGACATCCGGCATGGCATGCCCACAAATAGGGACGGGGCCAATATTTTACCTTTAGGGGGGGGGGGCAAATATCATGAGCTAAGTAGGAATCTTTTGCATTTCTTATATTTTGGTTAGATGGCTGTGTCTATCCTACCTTTTTTTCACTGATAATTTAATATTTTGATATTATAATTTGACTCTAATTTAATCATAATTTCACTATAATGAGTTGTATCTTCACTTTTATTTTATAGTAAGTTTTGGTACGATACTAAACCTGATACAATAGTGTTATCTTTATTTTATTAGATTTTCGTTCACAAAGATAATATTTTAAGAGAAGCATTTAAGTATGTCACAACTAAATTTAAAAAGCTTTTATATATGTCAAAATTTTATTGGATAAAAATTGGGGATTCTGTATAAAAAATTATTTTGTGACACCATAACCTTAATAAATATTTTGAGAAAGATTTTCTTGTTTTAAGAGCTGAATAAAGTAGGAATTTCTTTTGACAATATGAATATAAGAAGAAGTGAAAGGAGGCCGATTTTTTTGACAACATATGCTTGAGGTACTTAATATATATACCATAGGGTTTTGAAAAATTACTGGGGGGCATGGCCTCTTTGGCCATAGGCTAGCTCCGTCTATGCCCACAAGATATATAACTTACATGTGACTCTAGGTACAAACACACATTCTTAAGGGCAATAGAAGATAACAATGTAATAAAAACCATTTTAAGGGTTGAAGTGTACCTAATCATCCAAAAATGCAACATACTACTAGAAACAAATAAATACTAAGCCAAATAGCAGAATACTATCTAACCTCGGACTTGGACCAGGACAGGTCAAGCACATCATCAAGGTGTCCTTCGAATGAACAGACTGGCTTGTCTGAAAGCGCAAACACAGTCTCTGGTACCAAAACATGGTCCAAGCTCACCGATTTCCGGCTAATAGATGACCTTCCCCTTCTCTTCTTCTCCGGATGCCCATTTAGATTTGATGACAGTGAAGTTGGCTCTGGTGACCCATTAGCGAGAAATAAAAAACTCAAATTCCCATCTTCTGGTTTATCTATCAACAAATTACCCTTCCTCTCCGATTCCACAACCTCCCACACATGAATGACACAGTCCTCACCGGCACTTGCTAGATACTTGCCATCCAAGCTAAACTTAATAGTCCAAATAGACCCATTATGCGCCTGCATTTCCTGGCTCTTATAAAGTGCCGATAACTCTTTAAAGGACTTCCCATAATGTCGAACCCGAATTCTTTCCGACCCATGAATCGAAATATCCTGGCTATCATCCGTAGCAGAACTTGACCTCCTACCACCTTTCTCTGATGAGGTATCTCTCTCATCGCTGCTCCGCCTCTCTTTAAGGCCAGTGACTGAACTAGCCACACTCCTTATACTCTTCAACCAACTACCTTTTTTCTTTGACTTAGATCCACTCCCATTTGCATTTGAATCCATATTATCCTTATTCCCATCCTCCACATTCTGCCTCCTCATCAATTCTTGAACAAGTGGCGAATGCCCAACACACATCTCAAACTCTTCCATAGTCAGCTGCTTCCCAGTACCCACTTCCCTAAGTTTGTCCCACATCCCATCCTCTCTCACCTCATTCACAACAAACTCCTTCCCATTATCAAGATTTTTAATTAGACACACCTGATCATCAACCAAACCATTTGGATTACACTCCAAACCCCACTCCACCTCCCCATTCCCTGAAACAGCCAAGGAATCGAAATTCGCATTTAGATTCAAACGAGTGTAATCGGTTCTAATCTCATCACCCCGCCTAATATTTTTCCTCAAGGGAGGTTTATTTGGCGAAGAGATTGCATTACTAATTGTCGATCCATTTCCACTTCGCGATTTAACAAGAGCAACATTTTGATTACGATCTCGATTGTCATTATTTACGAATACTCCGCCGCCACAAGTCTCATTGACCGTTTGTGATGATGAAATTGAATTAGTTGAAATAATTTCAGAGGAATTAACTGACAACGAGTTAGAATTACACTGATTATGATCCGTGGGACTGTCCGACCTCGAAAGGACAATCCCAGGGCTAGAATTGAAATCGTTAGAGGAAAAAACCTGACCATTCCCTTGACTAGGGTTCAAGTGATCTGATGAAAGCGAACTGTCAAACTCTCCGCCGCGCATCTTTTCACCACCACAACTGCCGTCAGGCAGAGAGGTTTTTTTGCGGGAAAGAGTGAAATCGCCGCTGAGTCCCATGTGGCGGAGGAGTCGCATTCGGCGTTCTTCGACGGAGAGCGAAGGTTCGGATATCCAGACATGATAGTTGTTGGACACGCCCATTGGGAATTTGGGCACTGATAGATGGTCCGAGTTAGCATAATTTGGAGAATTCAATATCCAGTTCTGATCTCTGTCTTCGACGTCGTCGTCTGAAGCACAGGAGGAAGAGCGAGAACTGGTGGCGGAGGATTGTAAGCGATCGAGAGACTCGTAGAAACACTCGTCTTCGTCTTCTTCGTCGCCGGCCTTGTTCATCGTTCGGGCATTCCCATCTGAAACAATGAAAATGCCCGCCTATCTACTAACTACTCCAATTGATTGTTTCGTGGTTTTTTCTGTCAAACTCTGTATTTATAGAGTATATGTAGTTCGATCTATGTATGTCTAGTAGAAGTGCCGTCCCACGGAGAGAGAGAGAGAGAGAGAGAGAGAGAGGGTGGGAATTACGATTTACGGGGAAAAGATCGGACAATATAGATCCTCAAACTAGGTGGGGTTTTGGATTCTGCTTTCGGAACTCAGATCCGATGATGGGTTAGAGAAAGAAACTGGGAAGAGAGAGAGGGACAGAGTAACGACGCCCTATGCAAATGGTGAGAGAGAGAGAGAGAGAATGGTTTCTTGGGGTGGGTTGTACGTGGAAGTTGGGTTTCGGGGTGATGTTTGTGTGTGGGTACTGGTGGGTGTTTGACTGTTTGTTCCTGAAGAAAATGAAACGGCAAAACCAATATATATATATCTTACAGGAATTAATATTTTTTTTTTGGAATGTGAAATTAATATAAAATTGAGTTTGTGAGAAAACAGCCAATTGTTTGGGCATGGAAGTGGGGTGAGAGAATGAGGATAAGAATTGAGTAAATGGTGGTGGGGATTTGTATATCCTTTTTCGATTTAATGTTGTAGACCATCCCAACTTTTTTTGTTTTTTAGTTATGGTCATTGTTTTTTGAATTATTACTATGTTTGGACTAGAATAAAGTTTTTCACTTTTTCCAAAAAAAAAAAAAATTCTTTTTTGTTTGGAATCTTTGAATTATGGCTTAGAAATTAAGTGATTTTTATTCTGAATTAGAATAATAGATTACGTGTGTTCTTTTTGTAAATGTCATATATAGATATTACTTGTATTGAAAGATATTTTTATTTGATAGAAAAGAAGTTTTGATCTCGAATAAACTATTACGTAATTTGTGACTAAATAGAAGGATTTTTTGCTAGATTAGGATAGATGGTCCCTTGTCTATATGCATATACAATTTTCACATGTAATTGAATAATTATTCACGATCAATTGACATTTTTAATAGATTTTAACACTCATGAGAGTCTTTGTTTAAATAAAAAATCATTTATTTTTAATTTAACTTTGATTTTAATTTGCTTTACTACTTTAGTACCACGAAGGTGGATTTTTGCATAACTTGTGATGTAATGGTGTATTAGTTTTTTGGAAGTCTTGATAAAATTTTAAAATATAATTTAAGCTTCCTAAAAATTTTTGTAATTATTTTTTATCTTTAATTTCATCTGAAAATTTATTTGCAAATTGAATTAATCTTTCAACGGGGAAAATAGTTCCGTGATGAATATGATGTCCTGAAAATCTTATACAAAAAAAAAAGTTTCATAAAGATTTTTTTTGGGTGGCTTCTAGGGCTAGGCTGGTGAAGTACTAACTCCCCAAATCACTCTTGCTCTACGACCGTCACCTTTAGATAATTGTAAAATTCATTTGTCCTAAAGCGTAAGCATTTGTCATCGAAATCATTTAACACATAAGGTGTGCTTACCGGATTGTGTCTATTTCTTTATATATAAGAAGTTGGTCTCAAAATTCAATTTAAGCAGTTATAGAAATATGTGGTTAGTGTTATTTAGTGTCAATTTGTAATGGCGAAAGCACGAATTTGTGACATGTCTTAAAATTGATCTAATTAGTTATCATATGCAAGTTGAGCAGCATTACATCCTTGGATATGAATATTATTACTGTAAATTGATAAACAAAGGAAAGTATCTTCAGCATGATAAACAAAGGAAATAAAAAAGATTCAAAACCTGTTCATACTCTTTGTTTGGTTACTTTGACCCTTGAAATCTTGAAATAGTGACCCATGAAATCTTTTTATTTGAACTGTTTTTTTTTTTTGGTCATTTCACAAGTAGGGAAGGCAACAATTAGCAACTTACATGCCCTTTTATATAAGAAATAGTTTTTCAAAATTGAAGATGCTAAGTTTGATGTAAGGAACTTTTAGTTAATTCTTGGGGTTTAATTCTAAGATATTGAGTCACTCCAAGTGATCTAGACGATGTCCTCTGAATTCTGAATTGTGTTTAAATTTCAAATGATTTAGGTAATAATTTATTCTCTCTATTAAATAATACGTGAAAAGGTATTGGTATTACTCAAAAAAATTCCATAAGCTCCACTTGTTCCTATTTTCCCTTGTTTGCTCCTATCCAAACCGCGTTCCATTTGTTCCACAAAGTTTTCATTATTATTTAAATCATTGTTTATATGATAATTTTCTTAAGTTCATTTGATTCTCTAAATCATGCTGACTTTGACGAATTTAAATATGACATTTTATTTCAAAAATTAGAATCATTCCAAATGATAAAACCGTTCAACAAGATCCTCTGATAAAAATCAAAACAGAGTAACAAGAACTAGGTCATTGTTTCATTTTCATATTTGGAGGCAAACAATTGATCGGTCAAAGTAAACACTGTTAGGAGATCAAGGAAAAGTGTACCACCGACATTTTCCACCCAAAAGCAAAAGGGTCCCTAATATTTTTTGAGTGGGTTTAGGTCGGTCAGTCGTAAGGTTTGGGTGGCGGGCTGGCCTAGTTGACAAGAATAGAATATTGGCAAGTACCAAGTCGAACAGGTCATATCGTTGACTCCCATTTTTTTTTATTTGCTGTAATGATAAGTTTCGTTGGTAACCAACTCTCACACAATACTTACAAGGAAGGGTAATTCTACGATACCCAACAAAAAAAAAAAAATCAAAAATAATTATTTTTTAAAGGTGAGTTATATCTTTTAGAGATAAAATTATAACTACCTCAAATAATTTATTATCGATTCATAAAATATTGTGATCAATCACAAAAAAACTTAAATCAATTGTAACTTCATTTATAAGAAAGTGTAATTTAACCTTTAAAAATTAAAATTTATATAGTTTATTTTTGAATAAGAAACGGTAGAACTATATTATTTCATCAATAATGTAAAACAATTTTATGATGGTCAAGATACAAGAAATTAGGACTATTTCCTCTGAGATTTTATCCTAACTCATGGGGTTTTTAAACTTTATACCCAAAAGAGGGTAGTTTTCAAATTATTTCCCAAACTCATGCCCTTTTAAAAATGTCAATTGGAATAACGTTTTCAGTGTAAAAACGTCAGATCAACTAACATTTTTGCTTGTAATACACAACCCATGTACTATGCCTAAAAACGTGAGTTGGACCAACGTTTTCTAAAAAACGTTGGTCCAAGTAACGTTTTTATTGAAAACGTCAGTTGGACTGATGTTTTTCAATGTCCAAAAATTTGATTGATGAGTAAAAATAAAGGATTTTGTTTAATAAAAAATAAAAGAAATAATTAAATTGAGTTCCTGAATTTACCTTGGTTCGTTTATGGGCCAATAAAAGATTTTTTTTTATCTTCGAAACCCATTGGAAAGGGGCAGTGCGCGAAAACATACAGAAATGATCGACGTTGTTATTGACTGACGCTTTTAGAGTTTTTCTTCCTCTTTTTTTTTATGAGTAAATGTTTAATTTTATTTATTGAAAAAATTAATGATATTGAAAGTAAATAAATTTTGATGATCATTTCAAAATACATAAATTTTGATCATATCAAAATTAAAAAATTGAAAACATATACATATAATTTATTTTAATTTTATCTTATAATTTTAAACATATACATATAATACAAATATTTAATTTTGATCATGTCAACAATAATGTTATTAAGCGATGTAAAAATACAAGTTATTCATAACAAAAAAAATTGAGCATTTATTTCATAACACGTGTGTAGTGAATCTGTTGTAGTAAAAAAGATTGTCAATAACGTGCTTGATATTCAACACAACATAAAGGATTATCGAATCACATATAAATATGATGGGATAAAAATGTTAGACGCATAATCGTCCAGATTAGAGAAATTAGAAAGTTTAGGATCGGAAACAAGTAACGAATCCTCTAAAATTTCTATTTCGACATATTCAGGATCAAAATGCTTTGTTTTGGCATAATTGGTTGCATGAAACCGATCAAGATGACACTGCATTTGATCATTTTCACGTTTAAGCCATAACATGATCTTGTCATGATTGTTTGAATTATGTGGATCGTAAATATTAGCCAAATGTGCCTTTGATACCGCAAGTCCATGTCAATGACAAAATATTTCAAGGTCACAACGTTTGTCAAATAATTGTCACCATCTTAATGTGTATTCGATATGAGCACCTGGAGGCACATAGTCAATAGCAGGACCAACAATTACATGTCTAGATTTATCGAATGGGTGATAAGGGTCGATTGGCTCATTGCGGAATGCACGCTTTCGTCCATATCACTCTACACTACTAGAATCAGTATATGATCCAATTAAAGGGACTTTATTCAGCGATGTTGATCTGTCGGTTGAGCGTTCACGTTTTTTGGCCGAATATGAACTATTTTGGTTATTGCGTGAAGAAGAACCTTCATCGTTGTATTGTGTTTGTGATGTGCACCTATACATTTTGTTTGGTAGTGGTGCATTTACACAATTGTGAATGCTAGTACTTATATGCTCAGTTTGACAATTTAAAATAACAGTGAAAGGATATCACACTGCAAAGTTCGAAACTGATTTGATAATGACAAGATGTTACAATGAAAAAATTATAAAATGACAAAACACTGAATAGACTAGTAAAGCCGTGACATTAATTAACACTAAATAGGACGTAGACATAAACATTATATGTTTAATAAGTTGGACACTGATTACATTTGTTAATTTTCATCAGACATATGCTCATATGATAGGTATTATTCATTACACAATACAATAGATCATTTAATATCTGTCAGTTCTCTGTCAAATGCAATTGCCACCATATCAGTTGCTATTTGGAGCATATAATATCAACACTTACGCAACATAATTCTATTATTCTCCTTTCGTACACGTTTAACTACTGCTTCATAGTTAACTCTATT